CTGCTGATTTGTCTTCAGGCAAAAGTGGAGAATCTAGAGCAACAGTAATGGAAAGATTTATGGTATAAATATGAATGCTTATTCATTTAATACACATGTGGAGCATTTTTAAGCATCAGCTTTCTATTTCTTTCAGTTACATGTGGGTCTTGTTTGTATAACTAACTGTACTCCTAGTTTGCAAAACCACCTCCACGCTTTGTGCTCTACTGGCTTAATTGTGACTACAAGGTACAGGTACTTTTATCTGCTTACCTTTACCATTTCTCACACTCTTCTTTTTAACAACAGCCAGGTCATTTAATCTGTCCATCACTGGTATCCCTTTACCAGGTTAAAAACCTTTGTGGCTCATCTTTGAGTACCACGAAAAAAATGCAACCCAAAAAACACATCAGTCTTCGTCCATGTTCACATGGAGTTTCCACTGTGCCTAACAAAATGTCCCTATCAAAGCAGACTGTCCAATAACCTGTCAATGGCCCGTTCCATTCACATGAAAAGGATGCAGAAAGTCCAAAGCAAGAGTTGAAGAGGAAGTTACACGTCCTTTTTGAACTGTTTTTATCTTGTTTCTTTGAAAACGCTGTGAAAGACACAAACTACACAGAGCACACCATCCAAACCCCACCCCTTCTCTCTCTCCCGTCTTTGTCATGCGTCACACCCTCACCCAGTGACTGACAGGTGAAGTGACACGGTCAGTTTGTCGTTTTAAAGTTTTTTAAGCTGTGACCCACAGCCACCAACAGTCTCAAAAATGCCTTAGTGTTTTGATTCCTGTTTTTTTTAAATGTATTTTCCAGCATACTGACGTCGCATTTTAAGATAAAAGTATTTCATGGTGTGGTACATTATGTCACCTCAAGGCAACTGAAGACTGGCTGAGCAGGTTTCCTCAAAACAGATGGTTAGAGCAGATTATTTGTGCTACTTTACACATATGTACCTCTTACCTTGTTCAGAAAAGACAATCTAAATATATATAGATACTATTAAACCCAATCAAATAATTAGTGGCCTATTCAGCTCTGTGTGTACAGAGATAAGGGTCCATGTTTGTGCTGCTGTACTGTTTGAATGAATAGTTGTTGCTTTTTTTAAAACAAACTTTCTCCGGTTGGAAAATTATCCTAAATTCCAGCAATGACAGCTGAATGTCATGTCAACATATCACATACATGTGTCTCTGAGGTCAGACCTACCACTCCATGCCCTGTTGACTTCGCTGAGGAAGAGCCGCGAGTGGGACCCAAAAGGAAGTCTGAGCTCTAGCTCCTCTTCCTGGAAGCTCACTCTCACTCTCGTATCACCCCCTAGAATCAGATGAACAACACAGTACAGTAAGTGCAATGTTTAGTTTCATGTGGTGGATTAGTTATGTAGCATATTGGCCCTGAGCTGCAGTGAAGGGTAACTCACCCACAACCGCAAGTTCCTCTGGGGAGGAAACTAAAAAAAGTGCAGAAATGTGTAAGGTCACTTCAGAGAAGTTAACACTGTGCTATTTTTTTCTCTAGAAACAATAGCTGTAGCTATCTTGAAGTACACAATAGTTTTTAATTGTCAGTCTGTTTGCAATGAGATACAACATATGAAAGCAGCTCACCTTCCACAACAACAAAGTCAAGGGAAATGGGTATGATGTCCTCCAGTGACACGTCATCAGCAGTAATAGCCATCCTTCGATGGGTATAAATAAAGATTCTACAAAATATTGCAAGACAGACATTTACACTTTTAACTAATTTAGTTAGAAGTCTGAGTCAACAGTATTTTTTTTACAATATAAAGCACTTGCAGAGGTGGACAAAATAAAAGGACACCTGTAGTACAATATAATGCAAGCCAACACAACAGTCTTGCAGCTCTGCAGTAAATACTACCATTTTCACATAATGTATAATTCTGGTTACTGTGTCACACAGGTTGATGCAACTCTGTGATCATTTCCGAGGCCAGTATGTGGTGTTGCCCTGGATTGCATAATGCCGTCACCCCTCTCCTTACACAATTATATGTTAGCCTTTAAATACAAGTATACTGTTCAGTGATACACAGAAGCCATATTATAGCTCATTTGTACTATTAAAACTCACGCATGTTCTTTTGTAGACTCCACCAATCCCAGCAGTCGGCTCTCTGTAATGTTATCAAAGAGGACATCACATTGAACAGCATGTTTAGGGTATAGTTAAGGATATATAGTGGAAATGTGTTACCTCAGTGACAATATTTCACCAGGACCTTCCTCTCATTGAAACATTTTTTGGGGTACAATGTGCAACATTTAAATTTTTTAATTTATTTTACTCCATCTAACATCTGTAGTTACTTTACAAATGAGTATTATCCATTTTTAAAAATTAAACTACTCAGCAATACGTAAAATAGTTAAGATTAGCTCCACCTCAACCACATATATTAAAATTCTGATAATACTTCTATACTTTATAAAAAGCACTATGAATGCAGGACTTTTACTTGGCACTATACTGTCATCTTGTGGATGAAAGGTGTTACTACAAGCGTTGGACCATATCGTGTCGCGTTGGGAAGTCACGCCCGAGAAAACCCACACTAGTGCTTAAAACTACGCGCATTTGAAATGCATTGCCTGGATTTGAATCACAGCCTTAGTTCGGTTGTATTATTTATTGAGAGAGGTGTCAACCAGGTGGCCTTAACCCAGCAGGCCTCTCTGTTCGGGCTCTGGTATCCTTCAACGGAGTCGCGTTAGTTCAATTTAGTTTGAAGCAGGTAAAATAATCCTTCGCTTGAAGTGCTGATAATCCATAAACCCGGCGCACGAACAAAGGATACTATAATGCAGTTTTCTTCCCTTTCCAAAGTCTCTTGAATTGCGACGGATTGATCCATTGTGAAACACAACTGTGTGACAACTTCTGCTCCACACACACACACACACACACACAAACGAAAAACACCCAGGAGGACCAGTTTATTTCTCCCTCAAGTGAAAGCCAAGCAGGAGGAAAGACGCTTTTGGAGCCCCGTGTAGTCCAACATTATTCCCTTTTTTCGGTCCAGATGTTTAGTTTTTTCTTTCCCACTTCTTCTCCTTCTTCTTCTTCCTCCGCTCCCTGCTGGCCCGACCCAGGTCTGCCACGCACTGATCCAGAATCGCTCTGTGCGCCCGCAGTGACGTCACATCTGGGCTGTCAGTTTGGTTTGGATTTAGGCCTCAGGCGGCTGATCCAAAAGAGGATTACGTCCCACAATAGAGTGTGTAAAGTAATATATCCCTACTTTCTACAAAGTTATATCGAAGCTGTGATGGTTTGTGATGATGATGATGATGATGATGATGATCCGGTCAATAGGGTTTAAGTGGGTTTGTGTTAAGAGGGGGGAAACCCACCTGTAATACATGTGTTCAGTTGGAAAATAATAGCATAATAGCAATTGCTGCATTCCTGGGTCAATTTTCTTGCTCCCTGGTGAACCTTTTTTTTTTAAATTTTATTTGCAACAAGCCAAAAATAGAACAACTGACATCATACTGAGGTATTTTAGCTCAGACCTGGCTTTGACCTAGTTTTGGCATCAACCTGAAGCACAAGGATTCTGCTCAGATTCACCATAGGCCTCTGCACAGTGTGTAGCCCGACTGATACTGGATTTTTTAGGCCAAATCTGATGTTGATATTTGTGAGTTGTAATTGAATAATTAAAATAAATAAATAGACACATAAAATAAACAACCAATCGACACAGATCCCTTTGATTTGCACACAGTTACAGTGTGAAAATCTACTTGTCAGCACTCTGCGGTGAACAAACTATGTAATACTGATACTGTTTGTAACTGACCTAGTTTGGTGTTTCTGTAGCCTATTAGAATTTCTTGTTACTCACTGGCTGAAATATATCTGCAATAAGATATAATATTGACTGATATGTCGGTCTGGCCGATTCATCAACAGTCATGTGAGGATCACTGTATCGTAAAAAAAAGAGAATATCCAGCCGAGTTTTTCGTGGACTGTAAGACCAACAGTTGTATTTGACTATCAGTTCTCTGGTAGCGGTGGGAGAAGTGTTCGGACAATTTCATCATTTCAATACAATTGTTTCAAAAACAATGCATTGTGACACAAATTAAAAAAATATGATCAGTAAAATGTACTTGAAAAGTATCAAAAGTTTAAAGTCAGAAAAAAAAAAGTTCCCTATTAGTGATATTATATTCAGTATGTACAATACTTACTTTGTCCAGTATGCAACAGCTGCGTTTGCAGTTAGGACCCTTTGGAGGCCCTCTCACAGGGATCACAAAATACAAGTGTGGTGAGTGGTTCTGAGGTGAACAATGGGGTAGGATAAACAATGTAAACATACATTTGAATTCATTGTAATGGACTTCCCTAACCTTTTCTTTTGTTTTGTGAAATATTTTACCTCCGAGAAGTTTAGAGGGGATAAATGTCTCTTTGGTAGGACTGCTAACAGGAGCCCCCAACTAGGCACTGCTTTTTTATAATGGCTCACAAGCCAAAAACTGTTGGGAACCACTAAGTCCAACAATAATGTATTAGATGAGTTTAGCTTATGTTGTTTATTTATGGAAAATCATATTCTTAAAAGTAACCTGTAACTATAGCTATCAGATAAATGTAGTGGAGTAAAATGCACAATATTCCCTTCTGAAATGTAGCAAATGAAAAGAAAATGGTAATACTCTTGTAAAATAATATCAACAAATTTTAATACTTGAGTAAATGGTTTTCCACCACTGTTCTCTGGAAGATATAGACATTTGGCAAAATGTGAAAAATAACTTACTTAACCACTTAATTAAGTTACCTAAACGTTGGGGGCAGATGGGCTATACCAAAAAAGTGATTCACAGGACTTTACATTTCATAATAAAATAATCCTACTGTAATTTTGTGGCCCCCTTTGCAGCTGTAAGTCTCTAGAAATGTCATCACCTTACACCTTACACTTATGGCAAATATGATTGAATCAAATGAAGATTCATTAGATGTAGTTTATTAGATTTATCTCTTTTAGGCAAAAATCATAATATTTTATACAGTACACAAAACTTGAAAAAATTCTGATCATTTAGCATTTACATGACACCACCTTAAAATATACTTTGTAAACCACACATAGACATCCAAATCACGATTCACTAAAATATTAGTAGTCAAAAGTACTAAATTGCACATTATGAGTACATCTATAGAAATGCTTTAGCAAACCTTCACAACACCCTGTAACAGTTCAACATTTGTGTTTCATAAAGTGCATATAGAGTCATAGCTGTGTCACTCTCACAATGGCTTGAGAAGATGATAAATCTATAAGGAGAGCTTTTGGTAATTAAAACATAACTATGTTAACAACAATGTTGTGTTTAGGCTCACTCACCCATTCCAAAATTAATATTAGCCTACCATAAGTTTAAAGTGGGAAGGCACAAACAAAAACTGTTTCTGGCTTTCATTAAGAAGGCAGTACCTGAATTCAATTACAGTTATGGGCAAGGTCATGGCTAAACAAATTATGAGGTGTACAGCGATTCAAATTATATCTTAAAACTTAACTTCAAGTTAATTTTATTATATATCATTTTGTGAATTATAATTATATATAATTATAAAGGTGATTTGCTAAATGTGAAATGATGTGAAGATTGAGTTGCTTCTGGCATGTTTTGACATTTTCTTTTAAAAAATACTGTTCAAAGCCATTTTTCATTGGTCTTGAACCAGAAATAAAACATGATTGGGAAGTTTCAATAAAACAAGAAACAAAATCAACATTATAACTGAGGCTTTACATAATTCCATACACATATACAGTACAACCACATGTGAATATCAGAGAGATAAATCGGTGTAAATGAGTGTTAATCTCTGCATGGCTAAGCTTTTTTTTTTCCTGGAGGGAATCAGAGTTACACAAAGCTCTGGTTACCTAATGACCCACACAGCAGATGAGCAAGCTGGTATTCAGTCACTCACAGCAGCAAGGTGATAGCCAGCAGGCCAACTAAGGAAGCAATCAATTCTGTGTTAAGATGAGGACCTCTTGTGGCGAAAGAGGGGACATTCAATGTGCCATTCAACCATAGGCAGGAGGTCATAGTGGCGTTGCAGCACTCTAAATTACACGGAGGTTGTGTTGAGTCCTTGCATGGGGTTTGGCTAGAACAGTTGGTGGTGCAACCTGCTTGCCACTGCTCGACGGAATTTACGGTCTCCTTTCTCAGCTGCAAAAGCAATAGTTAGTTAGCAAGAACAGTGCAGAAGCAACAAGTGGTTGAAAGTCTAAATATGAGACTGCGATATTTAAATGTTGTTTAAAAAACCGTTTTATTTATAGTAACATACAAATAACATAACTTTATGTATATATCATGTAGAGACAAACTGAGAAAACTAGTGTACATTCACACCTCTATGTTTAGCAAACAAATATTTTTTCTTAACTGTGATTTATTAATATTTTATGTGATTTAAAGGCATGCATAGACTTTTTTTGTATGTATTATAGGGGTTTTCTTAAATTTTTCTGCAGAAAATAATAATTGTTTCCTGTCTACTTTCTTAAATAAAGTTGTCAGGCTGAATTTGTGCTGAAAAAAGGTATCATGTATATGGGGTAAGGGCAGTTTAAAAGGTGCTAAACAAGGACAAAAATAAACGCATATGAAGCTGGCATAAATTAACCATAATGGATCAGGACTCCAGTACGGGAGCGTATTGCATTCACTTGAAAAAAAGAAAAAAAACTTGTTTTTTTGAATATTTTTTTCTGTTTTTCTGAGTAATTCTTTTCCTGTTTTACAGAGTAATTTTTTTCTGTTTTTTGGAGTAATTTTTTCTGTTTTTCTGAGTAACTTTTTCCGAATTGTCAAGATACTTCGAACTCCCGCGAGAACCTCCAACCTGAAAGTGGCTCCCATGGACCTATGGTGACTCCTGCCCGCACATAATGCCCCATCTTCAACTATCTACCGTACATTGCTGATCTGAATGGGCTTTCCTTCTGAACAACCGCAAAGTCCTCAGGTGCCTGCGTAGAGTCGACAAACTAATGATAATACCATCTATCTGACTTAAAGACAGGACTATCTCCCAGTGTCTTAAACCCAGATCAAAGTAAAACTTGACTGAACTAAACAAGCCGGTTATGTTTGTTTCCGTTAAATCGAGCTCCCAATAAAGGAATTAATGCGTCTATTGTTTCAAATGCTCTCTAAACTCAGAAAAAAATTATTCAGAAAATCAGAAAAAAATTACTCCGAAAAACCAACCATAAAAAAAAATTACTCAGAAAAACACAAATAATTACTCAAAAAACAGACAAAAAAAAAAGAAATTTCAAGTGAATGCAATACGCTTCCGTACTCCAGAGTCAAACATTTTAGTCTTAGTCTTTTATTTAGGAATATGGAGCATAATGTTGCTTGAGCTGTATTATGTCACCAGATTAGATGGTGACATTTATGCTAAGTTGTTTTATTTGGAAAATCAATTTGGCAGTTCTCACCTGACAGTGTAGCTGTGAGGAGGAGCATATTTGGGACGCTCCAAAATCTGTGTAGCAATTTGAACCAGTACATGTACCATTATGGCATTTTTTTCCCTGAAAAAAAGAACACAACACAGAGTAAAGGATGATACAAATCTGACACAAGTCCTGGCTTAGACTATATTCCATTAAAATACGAAATAGTCTGTAGGTTGTTATCATAACCACTGGGAATTGGTTGGAAGTCAACACTGTATACAAATAATTTTGGATAGACATTGACAGCTGTTAGCAGTTAATCACACAGACAATTTGTGTCTGACTGTCTGTGACCAAGAGAAGGCAGAATTAACTGAATTCAGTGATACACACAACTATCTAGCCTTCTGCTTACACATATGCATCCATTTGCATGCCAGCACACACTCACATATGCAGACTTTTGTCCTTACATTGTTTGCTGTTGTTTGTGGATTGGTGGCAGCCATTGTAGTCACTGGTTTGGTTGTTGTTGTTGTTGTTGTTGTTGTTGTTGTTACTGAAATGACCAAAATCATGAAAGGAAAAGAGTAAATCGTTAAACAAATTGCTTAAAATTAAAAGCATGCACCTATAAATATGCAGTCATAACTCATAAGATAAAAAAAAAAAAAAAACAGTGTGTGGATGATAGAATAAATAAAATAATTATGAGAGTCATGAAATGAGGAGGTCAACTCTGTTTACCTGGGACTGCTGATGTTGTCATCATCATGGATGCAAAACTGCCATTGAGGCAGCCAGTAGAATTGCAGCACTTTATAGAGCAATTGTTCTGAGTGGTGTTGCCACAGCTATCAGCACAGGAGGCGCTGCAGCTAACAGTGTAGTACATGTCCATCTGTCTTAACAGCTGATACATTGCAGAATGACACATTAAAAGACATGTTTAATTGTCTTTGCCGTTTTATTTTCTTTTCATAAATGTAAATTATAAGATATAATAGTGTAAACTTAAGTGTATAACAAAGGATTGTTACCATTTGCTTTTAGTAGTTACTTACAAAAATCCATCATTCGAATGCTCAATTGCTTCAATAGGTTACTAATACAGTGCATTTGCTGTATATTTTGCTGTATGCACATGTCATGCATACAGCGGTTGTAACGCATTTTCGAACATTATCATTTAAGGGCAATACATCAAATGGTTTTGTTAGATGGTTCAAGAGGTTTTGTCAGTGTCATTTGCCCCCCTACCTGGCAGTAGTCAGCACATGAAGTGGCATTCTGACTGATGTACATTGTGTAGCAGTCTGAGTAGTTACAGGTGAATGAGGGACATATCTGTGTTTGAGAGAGATGAAAGGTCCATGATGAAGATGAAAAGCTGAAGGGATGAAGAAGAAGGAGTGATAAGGTAAACACACAAACAGAGCAATACACTTCTCTCTAAAAAGGTGGACTTGCCATGCTCATTGAAGGAGAATTTGTGGTTCCATTCCCACCACCTGCGGCAAAAAGATGGATGTCACAATCAATGACAGGTAAAGACAATAGTTTTCTTTTATTTTCATGGGAATACAAAGCATTGACAGTAACGGAAACATGTTATTATTTGGTATTATATTATTTGATGACTGACTGGTGGACATCATTTGGCTGGTTGAGGGACCAGAGCCCGTAGATGCGGTGGTCGAACCTGTGGCTGTCATGGTGGTGCTGGACTTGATCATGGCTCCTATACCAACTGTAGAGGTAGAAGTGGTTCCTAAATTAGTAGTACTGATTGAATTAGAGGTGATAGGTGTTGAAGATGCAGTGGTTCTATACTGGGTGTTGGTGATGATTGCTGTGGTTGTGGGGGACTTGGTGCCAGATAGCGACCCTCCGGAGGTGGCTGTGGAGGAATGAGTGGTGGTGGTGATTGCTGTTCCTCCGGAGGTGGTAGTGGTTGTGGGGGACTGGGTGGTGGATAGTGAGCCTCTGGAGGTGGCTGTGGAGGAATGAGTGGCGGTGGTGATTGCTGTTCCTCCGGAGGTGGTAGTGGTTGTGGGGGACTGGGTGGTGGATAGTGAGCCTCTGGAGGTGGCTGTGGAGGAATGAGTGGCGGTGGTGATTGCTGTTCCTCCGGAGGTGGTAGTGGTTGTGGGGGACCGGGTGGTGGATAGTGAGCCTCTGGAGGTGGCTGTGGGAGATTGGGCGGTGGATTCTGAGCCTCCAGAGGTGGTTGTAGGATTCTGAGTGGCAGTGGTAAATGCTGAGCCTCTGGAGGTGATTGTGGGGGACTGGGTGATGGTGGTGGATGCTGAGCCTCCAGAGGTTGTTGTGGTTGTCAGTGACTGGGTAATGGTGGTCATTGCTGTACCTGTGGTGGACTGGGTGGTCGAGGCTGCTGTGGTGGTGGTTGTTGCGGCCGCAGTGGATGATGCAGCCATTGTAGGGTTGGTTGTGGCTCCGGAGGTGGTTGAAGCTGGAGACTGTGAGGTGGTGCTGGCTGCTGTGCTTCCAGCGATGGTGGTTATGGGCTGGGTGGTGCTGGCTGCTGTGCTTCCAGCGATGGTGGTTATGGGCTGGGTGGTGCTGGCTGCTGTGCTTCCAGCGATGGTGGTTGCTGAGCCTGTGGTAGTGGCTGCGGCGGTTGTTGTGGGGGCATCAGTGGAAGAAGTGGGGGTAGTAGTAGAGGACACTAATACTGATGGCAGAAGTATTCCTAACAAGAGGAGGCGCAGTATACCAGTGCAGCCTGGCATTTTGGGAAACATAATAGGAGAGTATGGATTTTAGTGTACATAAACCAGAACATATGTAATGAATTGCAGCTATTTAGCTGAGCTAGGCACGTTTCATAATACCAGGGAAACTGCATTGTTCTTTTGTCACCGAAAAATTAACACTGGAATAATTTCTTAAAATGGCTATAAGGTAACAAGTGTTACTTTTAAGTGATACTAAAATAAAATATGTTGCTTTTAAGAGGATTTAAAGGCTAATATTAGAAACGCTTTAACCAGGGATTCATTAAAGTCAAATGTATGGTCTTCAGAAGATAAAACCCACTGACCTAGGTAATGCCCTGACTTTTCCTCTTGTGCCACCACATGGTTGACATTTTTGGGGGTTATTTGTTAAATTCCTTGACAACTGTTGAATGGATTGCTGTAAAACTGGACACAGGTGTTCATGGTGCCCAGAGGATTAATCCTAATTACTCTGGTGATCATCTGTCAGAGCTTTCACTGTGGCTCTAGCAATAGGAATGTCAGTCCACCACTTAGGTCCAGACTAAAATATCTGAACAACTATTGGATGAATTGCTACAAAAGTTTGCACAGATGAAAAGTGTCCAGATAATGCATGGTGTTAAGTTTGGTGATCCCCTGACTTTGCTTAGCACCAGAGTAGGGATTTCATGGACTCATGGGTTGGATTCGGGTCCAAATTTGAATTTGTCCAATATGGTTTATGACCAAGTATCTGCAAAACTAATGACATTCCCATCAGCCTCAGCTGGTGGCAAACATGGTAGAAATTATACCTGCTATACATCAGCAACAAAACAGCAACAAAGAAATAGGCCTAGATCAAGCAGACATAGTGTAAACTTATGTAAGCATGTATGCTTGTATGTGTGGCCACACGTGCTGTGCTGGTGCACAGTACAGTATCTATGCCAACATTCATATGTCATCTATTCATGAGAGAGCTACAGTATTACATCTTTGCTTTTGGGACAGTGACAGTGGAGTCCCAGAGCTTCAGTGTTTCTGCCTGCATTTATTTCTTGACAAATACTTGTTTTGTGACTATGAGTGTGTTTTTCAACCAATACATTAGCCAACATGGATAGTGTATTAGTCAAAATGTCTTTGAGCAAGACTGCCACTTTGCAGAAGACAGCTCAGTGCAACTATGAAAATAGTCATGTGCTTTAACATACCTATTACTGTCATTCTGATTTTCCATGTTTCCATAATTTTCTCTACTTTGTACATACAACATAAATTGCAAGTCTCTCTGTCCTGGTAGAGGGATCCCTCCTCTATAGCTCCTCAGGTTCTTTCCCATTTTAAATGTTTTGGAAAATGTTCCTTATCTGAATATAAGGTGTAAGGATATAGGGTCTCAGAAGCTTTACAAATTGTTCAACAATTTGAGGCAAATTTGTGATTTTGGACTGTATAAATAAAATTGACTATTGACTAGACTGACAAGGTTGCTGGAAAAAAACAGATTAAGTTAAGTTATCCTTTATTGATCCTTGTAGGGAAATGTATTCTCTGCATTTAACTAAGCAGTGGGTAGCCACCCCGCTGCGCCCAGGGACCAACTTCAGAGCTGAACCAGTACCTTGGTCAAGGCCACTGACTGGAGAATTAACCAAAGTTTTGATGGTGTGAGAAACCAGAACATCTAGAGTAAACCCACGTGAACACAGGGAGAACTTGCAAACTCCACACAGAAAGGCCCTGCCCCAGCCAGGAGTTGACAGTGGTTTTAAATAAGCAAAAATGCACTCATACCTGTGTCTTTTATAAAAGCCGTTGGGGCCATTATCGCATTGGCAGAAAGGGAGAGAGCTCTTTGTCCAGCCTGCAAGGAAGTCATATCAAAATCCTGATAATGGAGGGGAAAACAAACAAAAACATGAATGAAACAGCTGACGGATGTTCTGTTAATAATATCCACTGGTTGACACAGACATAATGACGAATCTCTCCTTGTAGAATAGACTGAGCAATAACAAGCTAAATTTGTGTGTAGACAAAAGATCTTTATGATAGAAGCTACTGTGGGCACAGTTCAAATTGTTTACCCATGCTAATAGGTTTCTGAATTACAACCATGCTCATTCATTGTAACCCACCTGGGCAATTCTTTTGATCTGTGAAAGTCATCTGTGGTCTCCTCTTTATACAATCCTCTAATTGTCCCATTGAAACTGATCTCATAATTGTTAGGTTGAGGCACAATAGAAGAAACTGATAAATGTGAGACTGAAAGCTGCACCTCAACTTTTTTCATATTTCAACACAGTTTCTCACATTAGTGGCACCTAGAACAAAAGCCTTGGTCAGAACATTTTCAGTTTTAGCAGAACAAGCAATTTTCAGCAATGGTCACCCCCTCATGAGGTAATTCCTGCTAAAATTAGTTGAGTCTTGTGTCACACAATTATATCGTAAGTGTCTCTGTTTGCTGCAGTTATCAGTGAACACAATTAAAATGTGTTTGTTCCTCCATCAGTCCCCTTGGGAGAACTGCTAAGCCGCACGACTTGTTTTTTTCCCCTCTCCCTTGGATCCCAGCTCTGGCTCCTATGGGCTCTACACCCTGGAAACTGAGTGACAACAGGGGCCATTTTTGCGTCCACGTCAAAATGCGGATTTTAATTGGAAAAAGTGAAGATTTCTTGGAGAATATTCAATTTGATGTACAGTGCATAAAAAGGTGTATTCAGGTGCCAGATCCTCATGCTTTAAATCACACCTTCCTGTTGGCCTAAACTCCCTATATACGTTTTCATTGAGTTGCACTGTGAATTGCGCAAGATTTTATTATAGGACTAGCTAAATGATAACTGAAGGAACCCTCAATAGTCTCTCCTGCCGTGAACTGTGCAGATAAAACATAAACTGTGCAACTTCATAAGAGACGTTGTTTTACGAATTATGTCTTTGAGTTGATTCTACACATTACACTGTACTAAGCCAAAATAGAATTACCTAAGAATGTGACTCAAAGAAATTCTTGGATTCATTCTGAAATAGAGTGATATTTTATATATTTTGATTAGACAAATTGACCAATGTTTATCAAAATAGTTGTTAGTGGTTTACTCATTCATAATAGAACATATGAATTGTGCATACATAAAGCAACGTTTGTAACATAAAATAACGTTTGTAACATCAAAACATAACAGATACTATAACATTTCCCTGCAGCATCATTCACTATCATCCCTGTGAGTCCCTGCGCTCACATATCAAAGCTCTGTTTAGCCGAATTTAAATCATGCTCACAAAATTCATCATCTAAAATCAGTAATATTATAATTATAGCCCACTCACCTGCAGTGCACTGGTTTTTTTCTGGCAGTTGTGGTCGAAGTGAATGAGCCTGCTCTCTCTCTGGCGTTGCCTTTCTCTGTCGCTGTCTGTTACCTCCCCCCTTTTGCTTCCTGCCTGCACTGTAGTAACGTAATAAGTGGAAGCTCTCACCTGCACAGCTATACCAGTGTGAGAGGAGGAGACTAACAGGCCTGGTGTTGCTGGGTGGATCTAAAGATGCCCCAGAATTGATGTGGTAATGATTCAGGACACAGATAATGTGGGTGTTTTTCACACTTTCATACTTACAAAACCCACGACCATTATGACTGGCTATGAGTTTTGAATCTGGTCAACCTAAGAGAGTTACAATTAAATGGTTAATTTTAACACTCAGTGTTCAATTCAGAAACATAAATACTTTTAATGGGATTTTTTTTACCTTCACCTATCAAAATGCCTTCAAAATACAACTTCACTGTGTGTCAACTCAACACAAAAGATGATATTACATTACACATATAAATGACAGTGTCAGGTTGCTTTTGAAAAGGTTGACTAAAACTTTGCAGCCAGCAATTAAAGATTTACTAAAATAACTCAGTGGATTATGCCTTTGCTAATCTATAAGGGTACAGGTGAGATTTCAGTGCCATGTGGGGTGATTGTATAGGGAACCTGGTTTCTGTTCAACACAATGTGAAATCAGACCCCCTCTCTCTGCCAGCCATAAAGCCCCCACAGACTACAATTACCTCTTTGTGGCCAAAAGAACCTAGAATTCTTGGGCACAACACAAAAGGCTCTTACACAATTTAGGTGACAGAAGTCCTTAACAGAAGTTGCACGAAACACAGGAAATTTTATCTGCTGTGAATGGCTTACTCAAGTTGTTGTTACCAAAGATACATACTAAAGTGGTTGAGAGTTACTTATGAAATAGGCTACTGTAGGTGGTGAAATGTAATGTAATTTCAATATAAGAGACAGGGGACAAAATCCACAGTCCTTGTTCTGTGCAATAAGTGACTATAAAGTTGACACTAATATGAGAATTCAGCAGTTTAAGTTAGAAAAAACAACTTGGTATACAGCTTCTTTGAAAATAATTCCTAGCTATACATGAGCAACTTTTATCAAAAAGATAGATTGTCTTTACGGTCTCAGGGCTTTGTTTTCACAACTTGTACATATCTTACATGGAAAACACATATATAGCATACATGCACACTCATATATATATATCTTCACATATGCTTACAAAGACATTTACATGCAGACAGTTGGTTAATTACAGTGATCAACATGGTATTTTATTTTTATTTTAGTATGTAGCATAAACAAATTCCACATAGCTAACTTGCAATGCCCATCCCTAGTAAAAACTTAGCAACAAGGCAATTGTTGGCTGCTATGGTAGATCACTTCCCCAAATATCAAAGAACTACTCACTCACACATCTTTCTGTAAGCCAACATAAGTTACAGCAAATTTTATATTGTTTATGATTTACCATCATCTCCAATGACATTTCCAAATGCACAAAGACATTATTTGCAAATAGCCAGCATACTGCAAACTCAGTCAAATTACTGACTATTTGCTTTGTATTTGCTTTGAATTTCATCATACAATCCTGTGTTGTAAATTCAAATACTTTGTATTCTTGTATCCTTGTGTGAGGACATGACATCCGAATGATGAGAGACTGAATGTTTTTTTGTCTCTCTGAATGCAGACCACAAATGCATGCAGCACACCTGAATAGAAGCTGCAAATGTAGGGGCTGAATTTATATACCTATTCACACACAACAATTAAGCATGTAGATATTGCCTGTAGGCTCACATTTCACTTGAATGACCAGCTTTAATTTGAAACCAAAAACCCTTGTCCTGTAGTCAATAGGATAATCAACTAGGAAGAAATGCTGCCCCTTTTCACACTTGATTTCCTATGAGTGAGATATATGACGCATGGTTTAGGCTGGACAAACATCTCTTTAATAATCATGTCTCTAAAAAAAAAAAAAAAAAAAAAAAAAAAAAGTAATATACACTAGTTTCTGTTCATGAAGGTCTATTTGATTCTCAAACTTTGTATATTCACAGCAGTAAAACTTTCCATGGTTCGTAGGTTGAAATATGTGTCACACTATGCCATTTCTTCAGCTTTTTGGAGGTTAACAATGATGTCCAAAACCACAACATGAGGAATATAAGACTATGAATAAATGATTTGCATTACCTGGAAAATTTTGGGACCACTTTATTTTGACAGGTAATAACTGATGAATATTGTCTTCTTCACAGGTTTATAATGGTGCATAAATGTGCATGTAATTGACATTACAATGGTACTGAAAATGTTGTAGTCAGTAACTAGCAGAAGCATACAACCCATCAGCAGAAACTTCTTCACTGGTGTTGCTCTGTCAGGCTCACACTGCAGATATCCACACTTTCCACCATTTAACCATTAAACACCTCCAGACTGTCACTGGGTCCAAAAGTTGCATCACTGTGTCCTCTTTAGTTTGGAGAATTTGATTTATTGATAATGTGTGTAATTAGTATTGTGTACACCACAAAATCAAAATATAAAGCTTCCCAAAGGACCTATGTTTTAAAGCCTTTATTGTTTCAGTTTAATAGTTTTAATATTTTACTCAGTGTAAAAAACATTAAAAAAGATTCAGAACAAAGAAATAGAATATATATATGTGATGGTGTCACCCTATGGAAATGGAAATAAAATACATCATAAATCAAATGGGAAATAATACTAATATTTGTTAAATACTTCTTCAGCTCTTATAACTGAATGTGTCAAAAGACAGACAGAACAGATGACACTGAATACTCCAACAGGAAGGTTGCACTGCATGTGGAGGCTTATTCACATTGTTTATAGATAAGGCTCAGTATACCAAATTAAGCAGCCTGGATGCAACTGTGTAACTGCATGCCTAAGAAGATTAGACAAGATTTACCTACCCAGCAGTCGTCAGCAGCACTGTTCACACAGACTTGGTGCATAGCAACAGGTCAGTGAGCCAAATGCGCCACATTAGCACTTACCATGGACTAAGACAGAGACCAATTGAGAGCTACCATTTCCTCATTACCCTATATGGTTGAGCTTCTGGCAAAGGTTAGTGTCCAGCTCTATCTGTACAATATCCAATAGTATGCTTCCATGTTCCTGTTTTTTTATGTGTGTTTGTTTGTGTATGAGGTCACAGCAGGGCAGCACCCACCTACGTATGGCATAGCCTACTTTTTTTTTTACCTGCCTACACCCGATCCTTTCAGGCGACAGTTCAGTAAAACTATGGTCATTAGTACACTGTAATGTAGCAATCCAATATTATTTTAGCTGAATTACTTCACAATGGTGGAGGAAGTATTCAGATCATTTTCCATTTTACTGTTTACAGATAAAGCTAATATCTGGCGGTTGTTTATTGGGCTGCAACTAATAATACAATTTTCTTGATTATCTATTTATTTTTTTGGTTTGTAAAATGTAAGATAAAAGTGAGAAATGCCCATCACAATTACCCAGAGCTTAAAGTGATACCTTAAAATGTCTGTTTTGTTTTGTCAACAGTCTAAACCTTCAGTTTACCTCAATTTCATATAAGAAAAAGCAGCAAATCATTTTGGTATTTTAACATGAAAGATTACTTCATTTTGTGATAACTGCCTAATGGGCATCGTAAACATTTGAAATGTTCTTCATGTAAAGTCTTAATTTGTTAAGTAACAAGTAACTGTAGCTGTCAGATGTAATGGAATAAAAAGTACAATATTTCTCTATGAAATGTAATAGAGAAGTAGACTGTGTCATGGGACAACTCAAGTAAAGTCCTAAAACTTCAAATCTGAGTCAATTTACTGTATTGTTTGAGTATGTACATCCACCACTGGCTGTAATAGATAAATCATATTAACAGTAATTTCTTTCCCCAGTTAGAGTACCACAATGTGAGGTGAACATGCTTCAACATAATGGCATATATCCTGTTGACTGCGTTTACATGGACACTCAAGGGGATACTGTGCACTTGCAGGTTTCTTTGGGTGAGGGTACATTCCATTGATCATTTGTATGAAATTTGTATATCTTGTTAGTAACATGTTTTCATATGAGCCGTGTTTATTTGTATTGCAGATATGCCCATACAATGCAATCAAATTCTTGCCAAGGGAACAACATGTAATTACAGAGGACACAAACCGACAACTGAAACCATTTGTGGGTAAGCATCTCATAGTCATACAATATGCTCAATAAAATCTTTTTTAAACAGAAACTAAAACACAACTCCACCCACACCAGTTCATCTTTCCCAGAATGAGGGAATACTTTAGCTCCATAAAATGCTTCTTTATAAAAGAAAAATAGATATTTATATAACTGTACACCTATCTATACAGTGTAAAGACCGAGAAAGACCATATTTAGCTGGCTTAAATCTATTCAGCGTGGCTGTTGTGTTCTAGCTCCATGCACATTAAATGTACATTGGTCCTTTTGGTTTTTGGGGGAGATTATAAAAGATGACTTTGCAGTATATCTCAAAATTAGTTACTATTATAGAATAAAAGTCGACGTCTATCAGGGTTAAATGTACCCAACAAGCTGTATTGTCTTATCTACTTTATGGAACCAAAGGTCTATCTGCATCCTATTATGAATCTACTTTACATCTCGTCAGCTCATGTGTAAGTAGAGATATGATGTGATGACCTAATTTGACTTTATTTGTCAGGTTCTGAAAGTAAAGGGATTGCAGCCATACCAGGTAGCCCTGACCGTACACCTGCCCTTGATAAAAGACTTACCAAAACCGAGAAAGAGATACTGTCCCTCAAAACCAGGATCGCCTGTGAGAGAACATCATGGGAAAGGAGGTTTGCAGAGCTGCAGAGAAAACAGGAAGAGCTATATCAGGTTTGCTAGTGAATGTATGTCTGTGTGTGTGTGTGGTTGAAGCTGTGACTTCCCTAATGATACCATGTCTCCTTTACCTCAGCTGTCCTCTCAGGCTGGAGTCTTAATAAAAGTGGGCAGTTGTGATGGCCAGGGAGAGCCAGGAGCCGACAATGGAGAAGTATTTGACGAGTGTTCAAGTAAATGACAGTAACACACACACACACACACACACACACACACACACACACACACACACACACACACACACACACACACAACAGTACATTCAGAAGTTTTTATACATGCTTTTAAATTCAGTATGTCAACTACCACTTTCTAATGAACAGGTGGTCTCTCAAGAATGATGTACCAAGACAGAGGGTCTGAGGGTTCATCAAAAGGCGACACTTGCAGTTTGTCAGGCAGCCAGTTATCCTCATCATCTCCACTGAGCTCAAGAGTTGCCTCCTCCTCATCCTCAGCCACCAGGTATAGGCCCTTAAGGTCCAGTGTGTAATTCACACAAATGAAAACATACCTTTGAATATTATATTTCATTTCTGCCAATAAAACCTTACACACTGGATGATAAGATTGAACATTCACATATTTGTATGGCAAATATGAAGCTACAACCAGCAGCTTGTTTTTGTCAGACAGCTTAGTTTAGCACCAAGGCTGGAAACTGGGAACCTCTAAGGCTCACTAATCAACACTTTATATGTAATTTGTTTAATCTGTACAAAAACCAAAGAGTCAAAACAGGTTGGTCAGGTGGCAAAAGCTTCTTGGTTGGAAGGGAGCTGTCTGGCACCTCACTCCCTGTAAAATGTTTTTACTCTCCAGTTTTTGTGCAGATTAAGAAGATATTGTGTAAACAAGTGAGCTTTAGTGTTAGGGGTTGGTGGATTTTGTTATCTTTTGACAGAGAATTTTTTTTATTTCACTTCAAAATGTAGGTTTAAAAAAAAAAAAAAAACACTACTGACTGAGCCCTCTCTTTCTCGAGTGTGAGATCATGGAGAACATCTCAAGGGCCTCACCGGGTTTTTGTACCACACTCACCCATGGATTTGGAGCTGGGTCACAGAGTCAGGATCATGCTGCCATCCGGACGGATCAGCACAGGAACGATTCGTTTCCTGGGCCACCTGCAGGGGGAGGCAGAGCTCCACCTCGGGGTGGAGCTGCAGACACCTGATCACGGATTGCATGACGGCAGACACAGGGGACACAGCTACTTTGAATGGTAACTGATCTAATTCTCTTGGAACACAAGCAACATGTAGCTTCTTAATATGTCTCAGACTGTGCGACCTGACATTTAGTGGTGCACTTTGATTTCTTTTGTTCACCCCTGTGTCATTCAGTGGTGCTTTATTATAATAATTTCACTACTTTTTTTGGAAAAAACAAGTCAAATGCCACCTACAAACCTTTTATTGTGCATTATTACACTGATTTATATCACAGATTTATACACTTCATTTAAAGGGACTGATAATATTCTGGCAGGATCATCTGTTTTTAAAGTGTGATTCCCAAAGCCTTAGTTAAACATGCAATTACATTAAAGTGTCTCTAAAAGCATCACACTCTGGGCCTCAGGTATTTAACAGCCAAACAATGCCTCCAAACATACTCGAACAAATCCTGTGCACTTAGTGGCTGAGCTGAATATGCAAATGTCAGGCTGAGGTAAACTCAAATTACAGCATTTAAGAAGTGAGACATGAGCTTTGGATGTGGTGTGTGAACTCATACCTGCAGTAACTCATGCCTGCAGCAATGAAAATCTGACTTGTTGTAAATACAAAAGGTAAATGTAAATGTAATGTAAACTACCGTATCATTCACATGGGTAAACCAAGTTAACCTATTTAAAAACACTTCCGCACTGCTTTTTCTTTTATTTAGATTTTCCTTAAATTAACTTAAAACATGCCAATTATTTTAATACTGTTATTTCTGTCCTTTACAGCAAGCCTGGCTATGGTGCCTTTGTACCATTCCACAAGTTACTGATGGCCTGGGAATGACAAAAGCACAGACTGTCATGTAGAGCTGCCCATTTGGATGTGTGGAAAGAGGGCCAACTGAAGGCAGAACAGTAGTTACGGCCAAGGATCTGACACCTTATAATAATGAGATAAATCTTTGTATCAAAGTACATAATATATAATACATAATATAATGTGTCATGTGTCTTGTCTTGTTTGTTATTTACAATAAAAATACAATTTTCATCAAACATAGTTCCATTGTGTGAGCTTGGAGAGACAGCAGAGTTAGTTAGTGTATGAGTCTGCTCACAAAACAAGCAAAATACAGTCTTAGTCTCATAGAGAAATGCTGAATTTCAAGCTCCAGGGCTGGTTTGGCTAAAAAACTTAAAGAGTGGGTCTTAAAAACCTGTTTTTTTTTTCTTGCCCTGAGCTAAATGCTCACTTCAAGAGATTCAAGATTTGTGCCCAAATGGCAAAATGGATGTCTGTACAAAATTTCTAATTAATTAAATAGTTGTCGAGATAATTCCCTCTGGACCAGTGGTGAACCGACCAATCGGCATTGCCATCCTTTGAGACAAAAATTCATAGCTCAGTGAAAGCACATTTCAGAAAAGTAGGCTGTGTGTATCCAGCAGTAACTCCAGAATAACCAGAAACTTTGTCCAATTGACACATGATAGATACACACACAAACACAGGCTGACCTTTCCCCCCCAGACACTAGAAAAACAAAAAGATTAGAAACCTTGTGTAGTGTAGAGCATTTCCTACTTTTTTTGTAGTGTTTTAGTAGAAAGGTGAAAGTGAAATTTAGTTTAAAAGGAAGTTTAGTAGGAATCTTATGTTATGACGAAAGTATGAGTCAGTGCCAATACTGAATGCCAAGCTCCTGACTTTCTGTTGGATGCAAGAACCTCACAAGTAAGTCCAACTGACACGCATCATATCTGACACGTCCCATTTTTTATTTTCAGTGACATGGTTTTTCCTATACATGGTTACTACTTTTATCTTTCAGTGTATGTACATTTACAAAGTGATTTTCCAACAGGACAGATACTTACAAGTTCATGAGAACTACATTTCAATTTTCTTATTGTCATTTTTCAATCACACAATAACCCAAATGTGTGTGTAGTGTTACAGCAGCACTTCTGTTCTAAGAATGTTTTATGAAACTGATGCTGATTAACAGGAACAAGGCGCTGACGAACCAGCGAATTCCTCTCGCTAGTATCAACTTCTAGTTTTACAAGTGTTCTACAATTTCCTCATTTGGTTAGGATTTACTGTAAATACTGTATGTTGAAAAATACTATGGCTGCACCTCACAGAGATAATATTGAAGACCCAGATGTTTTGAAGAACTATAATGAAAGTACAAGAAAAAGTAAGACTTTGTACAGCAACTCGTTATTGCATGAGAACTTACTGATTCAAATATATCACATTTGACACAATATGCATCAACAGTCAAAACTCTAGAAAATTAGTAATAACTATTTTTTGCTCTAAAGGCACTTTTCATCCAGAACAAGGATGACGAGATCGCATTTGACTACAATGTCATACAATAACATACAGCTCAGACCAGATTATCTAAACTGTTCATAAGTAGAAAGGCAAATTGCACATCCATAATGGCACATTAGACAAAATAAAACATTGTAGCAATTAGCTTTCAAATCACTTAAGGATAGGCACTATAAAACCTATCTAAGAGATTCTCTGTTTGCTATGACAGTGTCAACACAAATATTATGTTAGTTCTGACTGAAGAAGATGCAAGGAAAGAAAATCATCAGAATATCCCTCTCTGAGTCTTCAGGTTGAGGATCTCTGCGGCCAGTTTCTCTGCATCCATCAGATGTGGAAACATTTCCATGACTGTATCCACCTGATGTGGGTTGAAGATGGCTTGCAGATTCTTGCGAAGTTCCAACCTCTGTGGGTCAAACGCAGGAGTGGATGACTGTTGTTGGCCCCAGTAATGGTACTGAGGCCCATAAGAGCAGCAAGAGTTGTGTGAGTATGAGGTACTGACTGAAGAGGGGAGACTATGCGATGTCCTGGCTTGGGGCAGCCCCTGAAAGGGGTCTGACCAGTAATTTTGCTGATGATGTGTGGCTCCGCTGTAATGAAGATGACTGGGGAGGCTGTGTTGCTGTGGCACACCAGGTGGGAACATGTGAGGAGGGTAGGTGTCGTATTTGGCTTGACCCTTGGAGTCCAGGTTTCCGTGATGTTGCTGCTGATGAGCTGCTGAGGGCACTACACGGGAACAGCACCTGCAAGACTGGCTGGTGTTATTTTTCTCTAAATGCACTGAGGCATGTCTGGGTCCACTGAGGACAGGCTGCTGGGGCCTGAGCCTCTGGGAGTTGCTGAGGTAATGTGAAAAGTCAGAGTACTGGCTTTCATAGGAACCAAAGCCAGAATCCAGGTACTCGTGAGACATGTTGGCATAGTAATGATTGGGCATCGAGTGCAGCCCAGACCAATCTTTCTGACACTGGCTTCCTGTTGCAGAACAGGGCATATGATTTGGACTTTTTCTAGGATCCTCCCAGTACAGCAGTGTATTTTCACTAACCTGACCAGCATGTGACGGACTTTGCTGGTCTCTTCTGTACTCTGTGTTAGAGTCGTGAGGATGGGAGCAGGGTTTATGAGCAGGCCCAGGTTCAGACTGAAGTTGTCTGGGTGATAATCTGATATTTCTCTCTTCTTTTACAGTAGAAATCTGCGCTTTTTCTCTCAATTCATCCGCCAATGACAGGTAAGACTGGTTTGACCGCTCTGGATGGTAGAACTTACATTTGATGCCGTAAGTGCACTTTTTGTCTGAGGAAAACAAAAATGGACACACACACAAAAGTTAAAGGTCATCTCATTTGGGAACTACATTTCTTCCTTGTCTAAAACCTCTACGAGAAGGAAAAGTCTAACAATACGCAGTATAAAAAAAACAGAATGGTTCCTTTTCTTGAACTCTGTGCTAATCATATCTTACCATACGGACAGGGCTGTTTCTTTTGCTCTGTAGGCAGAGGCTTTTTCCTAAGGAAGTTGTCAAGACTGGGGCCATGGCGACCCAGAGGGTCATCTGGGGGCATGAACCTGAAAAAAAAAAAAAAACCTTCATGTCCTTGTGACAAATAAGCTGTGTGCTGCATAATTATGTTTCCCTGATTACACCCTCAGGATGCAATATGCCCTCTGGAACCACATTAAACAGGATTCATGGAAGTAAAATGTGAAACCTCATTGGCTCATGTAGAAAAACAGGCTAATTGCTTACTTGTCATTCACAAAGGAGTACATGAGGAGCCTCTCCTCGATGCATTTCTTCCACTCAGGTCTTTCTCCTTGGAGGTCACGGTAGGTGTCATTCGATACGATCACTCCGTCTGACTCATACGCCAACTTGACGATAAAGCGGTCATCATAGCAAACCACTCGCTTACCCCCAACACGGCGTGAAGGAGTGAAGACCACAATTTTCTGCTTTTCAAGCTCCATCAAGATGTGTTGATCTGAAAGTCAAAACAATCATGAATGAGATGGCTGTGGGGAGAGGAGGTACTTATTTTATATTATGTATTTGTGTTTAAATCCTTTTACATTATATTTTACTGTGTAATACAGTTTCTGACATAAAGTGCATAGCTTTTATCACCATCTTTATCATATAACATGACATACAATTTTCACATACAAGAACCAACAACCACAGAGCTTAAGAAAAAATACAATAGGCATTTTACAAAGCCCCAGCAATCAATCACAGAAAACAACACATAAGAGAAGGTATTAGACCATCTGTACAAACATCATAACTATCTCTATGTACATTATATCATATTACTCTACCTGCAAAGTGGTTGAATGAAAGAAATAATACACCCACTGTGGGTGCTTTACTACACGACTTTTAAGTGAAATTAAATGAGCCATGAAATCTGCATAAAGAGGCCAGGTTACATGAAAACTAGAGTAGTCTGAGCTGCTGACTTATGGACAATACTCTAACACTTAAAAGCGTGTTTCTAACTAAGTGCCTCTGTGTCTGTCTTCACCTCTTGCTGTACATTTTCTCCTGCTGTAGATGATTGTCAGCATCTAATCACTTACTTGCAGTAAACTAGGTGTGGAAGAAAAAAAAAACACAGAAGGACTTCCTGATGGGACTTTCCCACGAATGACTGCAGGCTGATTTTTACTTCCTTGTTCCCAGGTTGAAAATAGAACATTTGGATTTCTCCACACAACCTGCGCATACTAAATCACGAGAGCCATGACGTGATGATGCATTGAAGTTAGCAGGAATAGTTTGAAAATACGAGGTGGTGTAGTGTAGACATGATATTAATCTGGATTCTTCAGATACACCCAAAAACATTAGTGACTCAGCTGTCACTGACTGAGCTCTCTACTGTTTTCTACTGCCAGAGAATATCATACTGTACCCACACAAAAACTCTATCACTAAATCATTCTTGTCATGAAAATCTACGAAAAATGCCTGCACACTCTTGGCGTGTTACCGAAACATAACTCAGTAGCAAGTTGTGTAAATCTGTGTTTCACAACATTAATTGTGTTGCCCAATGGCTGACTCACTCAACATTATCTCATGGTTATACTGGGGAATGAATCACAGATACAGGAATACAAGGGCGTAACAAAGGGGGAGGGGGATTACGGCAAAGTATGAATTAGTTGTATTCACATTTCTTGGTAAAAAATATACTCTATAGGGGAAAAAAAAGGTTTTAATTGAACTTGGGGGACAAAGCAAAATGGTTAAGTCCTGGCTAATTAAAGGCAACATTTGGAAAAATATACTTATTTTTTTCAAGCTCACTAATTAACATCTTATATCTTGTTTATAATACTCTAATATACTTTAAGGGTTAAATGACAGTGTCATGTGCTGGGCCAGTTGCGACTGGAAACTCTAGGTAGCAATTCCTCCCAACCAAGAAACAGAGAAAGCAGAAAACCCCTTGTAAAATGGCAAATTTACATTTTTACACTTTGGTATTTGTACTGAGCTAAGTATTTCTTCTATCAGTAAAGAAAGAGACCCATTGGACAAGTCTACTTCTTTATTGGCTGGGAGTCGACGAGAGAGACTCACATGGACATGAAAGTAGTTTGTCTGCGAAAAGCGCATTTGATTTAAGTCACAAAAGATTGTCATGTAAGATACGCATTCTGGCATCCAGTCTAGGTCGCCAATGCTGGTGTCCTGGCTTACGTAATTGTAGGCTGGGAAAGTCCCTTCTTTTTCTGTTACATGGGGGTTAGCAGTACATATACAAACAAATCTTTGATCTGACTATACAGACTCAACATTGTCACTGACCGCATCAGTAGCTTTTAGCAGTCGTTAGCTCGGCCATACTGCACAGTACCTGGCTTCCTAGTTAAAAGCATATTGAAGACTGTGAAAGCCACTGAAACTATCAGAATCTGATAGCTCAATTATAAATAATATGCTGCAAAGCGATTAACCTTCTGTGTTGTGTTTGGGTAGTTTTGTACCCAACAGACTGAAATGAAGACAGAATCTGTGCTGGACAGCGATGTGTTCACTTAACTAAGGAAAAACATTGTCAGTGACTACGAGTATTTGAACGGAACTGAACAAAGTGATTTGTGGCTTCCACCTCTACTTTCTCCTGTATGCTAATAAGTTGAGGGCTGTGGCTATAAACTGAAAAGTTTATGAATGCAAGGGTCAATAATGGATTAATAAAAAGCCAATGGCAATTTGAACCCGACCTCCTCATTAAAGGGGGTGTTAGCCTCTTCTTGCTTGTGGTTTAGCCAATGAAAATGTTTCCACTTTGACTGAGAAATGTTTTTGTGGCTAAATTAATTGATGGGAACCATCTGTCTGCTTAGTTGTACATTTCTTGTATTCTCACCTGTTATGGGGGTGTCAGGTCTGGGGTGCTCTTTTCTCCAAGTGGGAACAAACACAGTAATAGTATTATGACCTCGGCCCATAAAGAAGTTCACTGCGAGCTGGATGCCTCGGCATGAGAAGACTTCCTTGTTGCCATGACTGTAAAAAGAAGCAGGTGTAAGAACATTAGTAAGTAAATAATTTGACAATAAACACGATGAAAAAGAACGGTAAAACTTGATCTGTGTAAACAGCACATGCCTTAAATGCCACATAAAACGTTCTGTCTCAGGGAACCTTCCCTCCGGATAATGCTTACTGTGAACTTTGTATGTTACACTTCACATAATTTGAAAGGTGAGAATTTAAGGTGTGTGCCTATTTGCATATTGTGGCCTTTACAAAAACAGGCACAGGCAGGATGGTGAACGCCCTTTTTAAATAGCTAAGTGACACAATGATGGAGAAAAATGCATATTTTTAAGGTTCAGAGTTTAATAACAACATGGAAGTGAGTGATGGCGGTTTGAAACATGTTATTTTACAGCTGCTTTACTTTCAGGTAGACAACACTGCTTTGGTTGTTTTGTAGCTTTTTGTGTAAGGGTATTGGTGGTCTATGGTTCAAAGTAACAAGTAGCAGCTATGAGGATTATGAATTATGATTTAGTTAATGATCTATGATTCCATAAAAGAGAGGAAAAAAACCCTTAAGATTACCTCATGGCAACATTACTGCCGTCGATAACAACAGGCCTCAATTCAGTGTCAGTATTCTTCTGCTCCCCGAGTTGGGGTGTGATTCTCTTGGGTCCAAGGGCCCAACTGGGAGGCAGCAGAGGGTCCTTTTGGTCTGTGCCCATCTCATCACTGTCAGAACTGGACACGGAGAGTGTAGTGCTGGTCCTGTTTCGGACCAGCTCGCCCAACACAGAGTTAGTGTCTGTGCCCAGGCCCAGCTTCCTCAAAGCAGTCTTCACCTCTGCTGAGGAGTAACCCAGTTTCCTGAAGAAGTCCACTCTGAGGTTGAGTTCCTCACTGTCTGTTTCGAGCTGGTCCGAAGCTGAGCTCTGGCTGGGAAGTGCCTGATCCATTCTGGAGCATCTGGGCCTCTTTTCAGCAGCATAGAAGATGTGTTATACGGCCTCAGGGTGATATTCATCGACTGACTGAAGGAAGGAAAATGAAAATGAATGAAATGAAACGAAGGAAAATTACATTTTTATTAGGAATACATGTTTATTTGACCCAATTTAATTTCGTAAGTTCCAATTTTCCCTTTTTGCTGCTCTTAAGTTGCATTAAGATTGTGAAATAATTTTATTACGCAATCTGACAGAATATTATTCTAAATTGACTTATTCCAAGATGTTAACTGCGAGTTTTTCTATTCAAACCCAAGATTATATGTACATTTTTTATGGTTGCACCATTCCATCTAATTGAAATAGTCCAGATGTCTTTCCCAGAATTCAGCCTGACATTTAGAAAATGCCACTAGACTTTAGTTCTGAGTTGCACAGCACAAGTTTAGTTTCTAATAACTATTCCATTCACTGCTTGTTAGGAGTTTATTACAGAACACACTACAGACGTGGGCTGCCTTTAGACGTTAATTATCAATCCTCTTTTTTCAGTTAAAAATTAAAATGCGTTCAAATGTGAGAATTTGTTGTTTTTGTCTTTAAACTGAATATTATGTGGTTTTGAACAGTTGGTTGAACAAAACAATACATTTGATGATGTAACCTTGGGCTCAATGATATTGTGACACTTTTAAAGATTTTTCACACATCAAACTGATTGTGTGATTAAAACTGATTCATCAAGAAAATAACTGGGCAGATCAACCTATATTATTAAAATAATCGTTCATTAAAAGTAGAATAGCTCATTTTAAGTACTTTAATAAATTCTTCTGCTCTTGACAGAATTGTCATTTTCCATTTTCCATCTTATGAGCTCATGTCCATTAGATTATTATTCAGTGTACCTGGAAAAAGCCACAAATAGGCATTCCCAAAGTTTGATTTTATGTAATTGTCTGTAAATATGTTAAAAAATGTCAAATTTGTGATGTTACCCAGTCAAATGTATTCATATATCATATATCATATATATATATATATATATATCATATATATATATATATATGATATATATACATAGCATACACACAGTAGGCTATCAGGTATAAGAGGCCTGTGGTTCTTATACAGGCTACTGTAAAGTCTGCTCGCCTCCTCGGCCTTTACTATGTTAATAAAGACAGCTGGACATAACAGTAAGAAACGCTGCTCTGCTTTACGCACTACACCACGTTATGTTGCCTGTATGAACATAATAATAAAAAACCCTCCACGACTTTCGAAGACTGTGTACATCTAGCCTACTTGACACAGGTGATAAGTTTCCAACGGGACATTTCCACCGCTAACCGGTCGGCAGGTTAAAGGTAACAGCGTCCACAAACCTCACCGCGGAGGCGAAGCGACGACTTACCTCCACCGTTTATCTCTTTCCCATTTTGTCCCATTTGTCAGCAGAAGTTACTCATAACTCTTGTCAGCGTTTCGAAGTACAGTAACTTTAACACGGTCCCGACTTTCATAGCACCTCCCTCTTGGAAAATGGTTCCTTCCCTTCCTCTCCTCCCCTGACGGAAGCATGCGCCGCTTTGAAATATTTGCATATACTATGAAAGATAAGATTAGGTGTTCCCTTTTTCTCTGCTTGTCAGTCAGACACTTCACTGTAGTGCTTTGCATATTCTTTGATGTCGATGTTGTGCCTCTAGGCAATAAAGCTACAAGCGGATAACATTATAACAGCTACCACCTGAGCAAAAAGTCAAATCAAGTTAATTTATTCAGAGTACATTTATATTGACCAGAATACATAGTTTAGTTTGATCATTTAATGAAGAAACTGGCAGAAGATTGCCATTATGCGGTTATATTATGCAAATAAAATCCTAGTAAAGCTAATTCAGTGTGTTTAGCTGTCATTTGTAAATTACCTTTTAACCTGTTTTAATTTGACAAACAGTAAAACTTTCTGATGATCCAGTGAGAAGATTCATGTGACGAACAATTCATTATTTTGTGGTAGAGGAGTCATGGTCTCTGGTCATGTTTTGGAGTATTCATGCTCTTATTTGTATTGAATATCAGTGGTTATGCTCTCATATCTATATACATACAACCAGGTTAGTGTAAAGACGCCCCTTAGTGGTTAGTTGGCAAAATAACAGCACCTATGTTTTTTTGTTTGTAGTGATTTTTGTTGTCTAAAAGTGAATCAAAGACACAAATACAATAAAAGTATGATATATTATGTTTCATTTTAAGGACATGAAATCAACTCATACACTGATAATGCTACTAGTTTGTTTGCTATTAGAGAAAAACTGCTTATACAATCAGTATTCAGATAAAAACAATATATATAGAAGAATAAACCATCATTCAGTCATATACCTCTCTTTAAAATATAGAAATGGTGACAGAATTGAAATATTGTTTGGTTTGTTTGCGCCAGTAGTAGAAAGTAACTAAATTCATGAACTCAAGTATTTAAGCATAATATTGAGGTACTTTATATGAGTATTATCATTTTATGCTACTCTATACTTCAACCTCACTACATAGGGAAATACTGTACTTCTTACTCCACTGCATTTATGAGTTCCCTCAGATAGGGAGCAATCTTAACAACTCAACACACATAAAAAACATAATTTTATCTCCTTGATACGTTATGAATCATCTTAATTTTATGAGAATTGCTTATAAAGGTGATCTGAAAATGACATACTGCAGAAGTCTCATGTGAGTTTATGGCAGACTAAAGGGTTACAACTTTGCTATTCTAGTTATTACTTTTACACATAGGGCAGTCAGGTCGGTTGGTAGATGCAAGATCATACTATACATAATTAAATCACATTCAAACCTTTTACATCATATATATTATAGTGTATTATTGCAATAATAACCCCACACACTGCAACTATTGTTGACATGTTACAGCTCATGTCTGGTTGTGCTATAATTAGCTCACTAGATGTCACCCTTGCTCCATGTTATCTCGCTGTGTCGCCTTTACTGGAAAGATTATGGAAGATATTGGTCTGCAAATAGTTGTGGCTTCAGTAGGTTGGCGGTTAAGTTGTGAAGTTTTATGTAGAGTGTGTGTGTGTGTGTGTGTGTGTGTGTGTGTGATTGTAAACAACACTTTGTGTACAGGGTTAATGGCACGGTCGAGTTAAGATCACAATGCGTGCAGCTGGTTAATGGCATATACAGAGTTGAGTTCCAGAGAGTGGAGAAAGTAATCAGGGCCAGTTGCCAGGTGGTTGCTTCCTCTGAGGGCCCACACCACTGGTCCCAGGTGTCTGCAAGGCCTGATATTACTGCAGGGCAATGAGCTGCAGCCAGCAACGATGAGTTGGGGTGAACACACAAACACACACATTCAAGCTCAGACGGAAAGACAGAAAGATACAGAAAGCACACACACATAAATTCACACATTTTTGTGAAGTTATCCATGTCTTTATATGTGGGAGAGTTTCCAGGTGCATTATGAAAAATATCAGTTGTATCAGACTTAGCATGAAGGACAGTTACATAGTATTTTATTGAATTTAGTCTGTAAACCCTCCATTTACCCCAGTGGACTGTGGTTGAGTGTATTGTTTGTAATTTATGGCTAGATTATATTGGAAGGCATTACTGGCATCCAGAGAGCTATTGTTCAGTAATGCAAATCTTGAACCTCGCTGAGGATCCAAGTGCCCAAGATTGGATGAGATTAGTGCAGATTGGGTATTGTGAACATCAAACGCTTACTTCCTTAACATCTTAGGGGGAGGCATTACCCTACTCAAAGGCATATCTTTTTCCTCCAGGCAGGTGTAGTTTGGCAAGGCTTGTTAAACCCGAGACAGTTGATCAAATATTCAGCCAGGCTCATTGTGCTGCTGAGAGCTTTTGGATGCGGTTGGGATAGTGCCGGGCTGATAAAACCAGCTTTGTAGTGCCTCAGTGCTGGCCTCCCTTTGCTATTCCTTTCGTTGACTGCCCGGGTCAGCCGTCTGTCAGAAAAATTAATTTTTGTATGATTTCTTTAAAAAGAACCAAAGGAAAGAAAAGGCAGCCTTTAACTGGAGTAATCCATCTTGCACCAATGGTGTCAGAGTGATTCACGATTTCCAATTTAACCACGGTTTGAATCTAAAGTAAATCAGGCAGGACGGCTCCACCCTTTGTGCAGCCGGACGACAAACCCTCAGTGACAAGAGCTTTCAAATGAACATATCCCCCACATTCATCTTGTTCATTTATTACTTGAGACACCCCAGTGCTTGTCCTACATAGATCAGCAAGCAAAGACCTCCTGACATTGTGTGTGAGTGTAGAGGAGGTAAGGCATTAAAACTAGGTAGGTGGCTATAGCATTGATAGAAGATTGGACAAAAGAGCAATAGAATGGAGAGGGCCATGGTTTTGAGCCTGTATTTAATTAAATTTGCTTTGATTAGTGACAACTGAATTCCCTGAGTAGGATGTGAGCGTAGAATTGCAATGTAGTGACTACTCCAGCCTGCTGTTCATGGACATCTACCCACTGAGATATTCTCTAGAAGATCGCATGCACTAATTATTTGTTTTGGTTTTTCAGTCTTCTTACTGGTCAGAAATTGATTAATTAGGTGTATTTCTGTCTTCAATGTTATTAATTCTACTGTGCGCAACCTTCCTTTACATACTGCCAAACAAAGGAGAGTTAACGAAGGCAAATTAATAAATGTTTAAAGCTGCTATAGTCAATATTTTCATTTTGTTAATGGACAATATAATTATGTGTAATGTGAAAGGGGTCGCTCATAATGACAAGAGAGGGAATTATCGCTCTCATAAACACAGTTTTCTGGCACAGCAGGCAATTGTTTATATTGAAAAAGCATTAGGAAAACCCACTGTATGCTACCTGCCAGCACCCAACAGTAAACAGAAAAAGTTAGCAACTAGCTGGTGAACATAGTGGAGCATGAAAGGAAAGTGAATATTAGACTTCATCAGATCATTTCTACTTGCAGAATGTGTGTTTTTTTATTTCATAGTTATTCGCATTTGCATTTACTCATATTCTGCTAAATTAATTATTTAAAGGTCCAGTAGGTAACATTTAGGAGGATCTATTGGCTGGAATATAATATTCATGTGTTTTCATTGGTGTATAATCATCTGAAAATCAGAATTGTTGTGTTTTTGTTATGAGAATAAGCCATTTTTATTTACAGGGGGAGCAGCTCCTCTTCTATGAGTCCATCATGTTAAGCCAACATGTTTCTACAGTTGCCCAGAATTGACAAACCACATTCGGGCCACTGTAGTTTTTCCTTGGAAGGCAAACAATATTCTACTGGACACACTTGGATTTTCAGCCTCACATATGACTGAATAGAAATGACAATTCAAATCTCTTTTTTTGCAGAGAGACAACAAACTCTTCCTCTCCTCTGACTATACATAAACAGTATTAATTATTACAGATGGAAAGGGAAATAACTTGATTTTATTATTTGTCTGACCACTTTGAGCTAAAACTGTAGTTTTATGATGGAATTTCAGATTAGTCTGACCAGTTGCAGCATCCAATCACTAACACATATCCAATAAAGGCATTTGTCTGTCCAGTAAAAGGCTTCCATGAAGGTGGATCTCATGTATCCTCGCTCATGCCTCCTCAGGGATCTTTCCTCGCTCCTCTGAGCAGAAACACTGGAATGGCCTTCACAACGGTGGACCGGATCAATTTCCAGGTCAAGTGAGGAGTGAGGAACAATCAAATAAGGGAAATTACCCTATGTGTGCATTGTCCTCATTTACCTTTGTGGTATCTAACCATGCTGACAGTTGTGGTCTTTTTGTGTGTTTTCTATATGAGAATATGTATTTTTGTACTTTTGGATGAACTGTTGAACAAACATGAACAAACACTTGAAATAAATGTGGTCAAGCCAGCCATAGATCATTTAAAGATCATTGTGTATAGGTGTACTGGGTCCCAGCGCAGCTCCAGCCCTCGCAGGTGTAACCTCAGCATGAAGTCCTGGCCTTGTCCAAGAGCACCAACAATGTTCTGATTAATTATTCCTGTCAGTCTGGGTCATTCAGGGGTACCTGTTATTCTGCATATTACTCATACCTGCCCTAACAAAGGGGCACACTCACAACAATGCATGACGGCGTACAGGTACACAAAAGTGCGTGCATTACAAGTACACATGCACATAAACAGACCCACAGACATGGTCACTAACACACACAAAGACACACAAATAAACCCACTTCCAGTGCCCAGACTCGTGTGTGATAGCAATTCATGCTCAGGCAGTCAGGCAACGCTCCAAGGTATTCATTACTATTGATGTCAGAATCCACAACAAGAAGTGATGGCTGAACCTCCTGCAGCCTGTACTGTTTAAAGCCGAGCTCCTCTCCCCCAGCTGTTGCTCTCTGTCTTCACTTGGGAAGGGAGACTGTGATGATTAATGCACTCTCTGCTGGGATCTCAGGGAAAGAACCTGGAGTCCCTGCTGAAGTGCTTTGCTCATATTGTGGTGATTCAGTCACACAATATCTACACTGTG